CTACAACAGTGATGGATCCAGTGGCACTCACATGGCCCAGATGTTTAATGTGAACCTCACAGGAGTAATATGCGGTGTCATCTGATTGGACCTTTGATAATTTTAACGTGTGATTCTTAAACACAGTATACCTAAAAGCACAAAAATAAGCAAAAACATTGGTAAAAAGCCACAGCATTTCAAGGAAAACTTTTAGTCATGTTCAAATTCAGTTACTATCGTTGGTTACGTATTGTAACCCCAGATTCTATGAGTCTAGTCGCAGCCCTTAAGCGAGCTGCTATTGGAAGGGTGATCTCAGCATCAGCCAATCATGAAGAGCTTAAATGTTCGCCCACCACGTGGGCACCCCTTGTAGGTTATATAAATGGAACGACCCCACTGTTCGCCTCCGATGGCTCTTAGTCCTAACAGAACCAGTGGGGCCAGTGGCTTAAGGGCTGCGACTAGACTCATAGAATCTGGGGTTACAATACGTAACCAACGTTCTATTTCGTCTAGTCTTAGCCCTTAAGCTAGCTGCTATTGGAATAATGCGCAGCTGGATGGGTTTACGCCACACTGGTTAGCTCAACCAATGGACACACCCAACATGTCTCCTTTTAGCGAGGGTCACTCAGCCTCAGCCCAGGGCTTAAAAGGCTGAGGCAGCCAGAGAGAAGAGTGGGCCCCCACTAAAAAAAATCATCCACAAGAGGATGAAATTAATTCAGGTAGGGCTGATGTGGTGCCATAATGCTTTCACTCAGCCTGCTGAGGTCCAAGCACTGAACGAGTGATGGATCCTGAAGACACATCCCGTAAATAATAATGAGTAAAGGAACAGGGTGAAGCCCATGAAGCAGCCTGACAAATGTTTTCCATCGACACACCACTGTGCAGCGCCATAGAAGAGGAAATCCCTCTGGCTGAGTGAGCCCTGAGTGTCTCAGGAGGATCCCGCCCTGATGATGTGTAAGCGAGTGAAATGGCGTCACATAGCCAGAGTCAAAGGTGCTGGGCCAACAGCGCTTGCCCAAGGGAAGAATCTCTGTAGTGCACAAACATGCTTTGTGAGCGGCGAATCCCTGAAGTGCGTGACACATATCGTGCGAGCGCGCGCACCGGGCAGAGAAGATGGGAAGCTGCCTCCTCATCAGAATTATGGGGAGGAGGAAAAAGTCCAGCCAATGAAATTGACCTGGATTTGAAGGAAGCATTAATGTTTTTGGCCACAGAGGCTGGGTTGGGGCATAAAACAGCAGACCCGCCATCTTCCCAGATCCTGAGGCATGCGGGAGCCACTGAGAGGGCGGTCAGGTCGCTCACTCTCTTGACTGATGCCAGCGCCAGCAGCAAGACAGTTGTAAGTGACAGGAACTTGAGTGAGACCTGGTCGGTCCAAGGGTTCAAATGGGGCTTCAGATAAGCCGCACAGAACCACCGTTAGGTCCCACTGGGGAACTAGCGGGCGGGACACAGGTCTGCTCCTTCTGACACCTTTTAGAAAACATTTTGTGAGGGGATGATTGAAAACAGACCTATCACCCAAATCCTGGTGACAGGATGAGATAGCTGCAGCATGTTTCAATAGTGCTGAATGCGAGGCCCCTGTCCGTCCGTCCGTATCTGCAGAAACGATAGGACATCCGCCACCTGGCAGGAGAGCGCTTGAACATTCTGCTCTGTGCACCAGTTCTGGAAAGCTGCCCATTTAGCAGCGTAAGATGCAACGGTAGAAGGCGCCCGCGCACTCTGAATCGTGGTGACCACATCATGCGGCAGCCCAGAAACCCCTAAGCGTGACCGCTCAGCGGCCAGACCCACAGCCATTGGCCTCTTTCTGGAGGATGTTTGATTATCCCATCCACCTGGAGAGGGGCGTCCTTCCTTCGCGGGAGTCTCCACGGGGAGCCGGACACTAGCGACTGCAGGTCCGGAAACCATGACGCGGACAGGCGTCTGGGAGCCACCAGAATTACCGAGAGCTGTTCTGACCGAACTCGGTCCAGGAGACGGGGAATCAGAGGGACTGGTGGAAATGCATAAAGGAGCGTTCGAGGCCAGGGCTGGTGTGAAAAGGCGTCCGCCCCGAGCGGGGGTTGGTCCCGGGGACTCAGGGAAAACCACAGGCGACACTGAGCGTTTTCGCGAGCCGTGAACAGCTCCACAGACGGTTCCCCGAACCTTATCCAGATCTGTGACATCAGTGCGGGATGCAGACGCCAGTCGGAGTCGCGGGGACCCCCTCTCGACAGGATGTCTGCCGCTACATTCAGGATCCCCGGAATGTAGGTGGCACAGCAGGTGGACATGTGCCCAACCTAGTAAATCTGTGGCTACGCGCAATAGTGGGAGGGATCAAACTCCCCCTTGGCGATTTATGTAGGCTGCCGCCACCTGGCTGTCTGTGTGAACTTCGACATGACGGCCCTCGAGAAGGGCAGCGAAGTGTCTGAACACATTCCTCACTGTCATAAGCTCCAACACATTTATGTGCTCGTGCGTGTGGGAGGGCCAGCGATCCACCGCCGTATGGGACAAGCACGTGCCCCCCACCCCAGACAGTGACGCATCCGTAAACACAGATACGTGTGACGCAGGACGTCCGATGGGAATCCTGTGTGAGAGGATGCAGGGATTCCCCCAGTGAGCGAGGTCCCCACCCACTGAGGGGGGAACCCTCAACATACATCTCTTCTGACGTATCGGGTGTACCCGGAGGCGGATGAACCAACGTTGCAGGCACCTCGAGTGCAACAACCCTAGCAGCACCACCGAGTGGGCTGCAGCCATCATGCCCAGAAGTCTCATGACTAACAGGGCTCTCACGATCTTGCGAGATTGCACGCGGGAGATCACCGTGGTGAAATCTGCCGCTCTCACCGGCGACAAACGTGCTCTCATTAGGGAGGCGTTCAGCTCCACCCCGAGAAACACAATCGACTGGGATGGAAGGATGGAGTTCTTCCCCCAGTTTATAGAAAACCCCAGGGTTGACAGATGCTCTGTTAACTTCCTGGTTTGCTCTGACGCCCCGTCCTCGGACCGGGCGCATCGGAGCAGATCGTCCTGGTAAAATAAAACCCTTATTCCCGCCCTGCACAGTGGCTGCAGCGCGGTCTCCAGACATTTGGAGAAAGTGCGCTGGGCTAGCGAGTAGCCGAAAGGGAGGAATTCGTGCGCGCGTTCAGAAAGCGGACGTGTGCTCGAGGTCATGTGAGCAACGTCTGAGGATTGGGTTTGCGCCCTTACCGCCGTCGCTCGTACCAGAGAACTGGGACCGACCCATGGAGGGCTGTGCTCGAAAGGGCGAGTGTGAAAGAGCTGGAAGAGGCTGATCCACACCGCAGAGCGTGGAGTCCAAGGATGAAGGACGAATGGGAGCCGGGCCCGTGCACGGGAACGACAAAGTGCCAGCGGATGGAGCCGCGTAATGTGCGCGGCTTTGCGCGTGGTCGCGACAGTGCCATGACATCCCGTCCTACCCAACCTTGTGGGGGAAGCGTGACGAGTCGGGCCAGGCCGTAGGCTGGGGCCGGTGCGCAAATGGAGTGCACCCTTACAGCTAGCCATGTAACATGACCGAGTCCGACTGTGTGAACATGCAGATGTGCTGCAGTGCTTGGTGCAGGGAACATCATGTGTGAGGATTCGGCAGAGGGTTCTGCAGAGGACTGTAGGATTGTGCTCTCGATGTGACATTTTTTGGGTTTTATTTCAAAACCAACATTATTCACAGTTAACATTACAGCCATAAGCACACACATTCCCCCCAACGAGTCGTTTTCGTGGTTGTATTCGGCAAAGTTCCTGTGACTGAGACTGCCAAGGCTGTGTCTGCTGGCTCATTCGGAACCGTTAGCCGCCAACTCCCTAGTTCCGCCTCAGCGGGAGGCCGGCTCTGCGGGGCGGGCCGTGCAGCTGGGCGCCTGGAGTTTCCGCGCCGTTCGTCCCATCCTCTGGGGGAACGGCCAGAGTGCGAGGCTGACCGAGAGTGGACTAGGTCTCGCACTGTGGCTGAAAGTTCAGCCGCCGTCTGAGCCCTCTCGATGACGCTCGCAAGATGGGGACCAAACAGAACGTCAGAGGTGATGGGGCCTTCCAGCATCTCCCTGTGCAGGTGTTCAGGAATGGAGGGCAGGGCCTTGAGCCACAAGGCCCGCTGGATAAGGGTCTGCCAGGCAGCAATGCGAGCAGAACCGGTGAGTACAGCAACGCACAGATTGAGGATGGCATCAGCAGTTTTAGTAATGATGGTTTTTGACTCGACAGGAGCGTCAAGCTCCTCCACCATTTTGGAAACGCCAAAGGCGAGAAGGCGATGTTATTTCCTGCAGCGCCGGTCTGGAAGGCGCACTGGTGTGCGCGATCGGCGAGCCGCCTCAGCAGCTGGTCATGCTTAGAAGCGGGAACTGCTCGCGGTCCAGCGAGGTGGTTCTTGACACCACACAGCGAGGCCAAGTCCGGCTCCAGTGGGGGAACGGATGGCCAGCCCAGGTCGGAGAAGCCCTCGACCTTGGTAATGGGCACATATGTGGAAATTGGCACCTTGAGCCCGGCAGGCTCGGAGAAGGCGGCGGACCAGCAGCTCATGGCAGCGGGGAAGCGCGGCCAGACGGGGTCTGGACAGCGCATCTGTGTTGCCCCGAAAATTCCCGCCAATTCATCTGCCTCAGGCGGAGCCGGTTCTGGAACGGCTAGTCCCTTGCGGGCCGCAGCCGCGGAGATGATGGCGGGCAGCTCCTGGAGCAGTGCTCTAACTGCTGGCAGGGAGGAGTGAGAAGCCACTGGGGCAGAAGGACCCGCTGAGCAAGGCTCGTCGACCTCCGTGTTGTACAGGAGGGAAAGGGGGCTACAGCAGCCAGCCTCGTCGTGCTCCTCACGAGGCTCGTCGACTTCCATGTCGTACAGGAGGGAAAAAGGGCCATGGCAGCCAGCCTCGTGGTCGACCTCCGTGTTGTACAGGAGGGAAAAAGGGCTATGGCAGCCAGCCTTGTGGTTGACCTCCATGCTGTACAGGAGGGAAGAAGGGCTACGGCAGCCAGCTTCGTCGTACTCCTCGCTGTCGATGACATCGTCCAGTCGGTAGGAGCCAGCCGGCTCCTGGCCGACGTTGAAGAACTGTAACGCCTTGTCCAGCGAGTACGTGCCAGCCACCGGAATTTTCTCGTCGGTGGTGGGGGTGAAGTACTCGACCCGGCGGACCTTTTCAGCCACGGGCAGAGCAGTACAAAACGGGCACCAGGCCTGGGGGTCAAGGCCAGGCCAGCGTGGTGAGCCTCGAGACAGACCTAACACTTGGCGTGCAGGTCGCCGCTGGAGATGGAGCCCGTCTGGCAGGCCGGGCAGGTCCTGGCGTCGCTGGACATAGTCGGTGAGTAGATTTTTCTTGTATAATTGCTCTTAAAGGAAGCTCTTAAGCTTGGCGTGAAGAGAAAACGGAGGCAAACAGTGGGGTCGTTCCATTTATATAACCTACAAGGGGTGCCCACATGGTGGGCGTACATTTAAGCTCTTCATGATTGGCTGATGCTGAGATCACCCTTCCAATAGCAGCTCGCTTAAGGGCTAAGACTAGACGAACTAGAACTTAGGTTTCCATCAGTCATTCAGAGCATCAGTGTTACTGTAAATTTGGTTTTTAATGACGGACTTCTATGGTTTATTTCCATGCAGCACGATTATAAAACTGGATGTAGAAAAACAAAAACAGAGTTTATAAATTTGAACTTATTGTGGACTTTGTCTTATTGAAATTTTTATACAGGCTGGAATATGTACATCTGTTCACCTAACTCTTATCTATCAGGCTCCTCTCCTGTGGAACCAGCTCCCAGCGTTAGTCCGTGAGGCAGACACCTTGTCTACTTTTAAGAATAGGCTTAAAACATTTTTATTTGACAGGGCCTATGGTTAAAATCTGATGTCAGCCTAAATCAGGACAAGTGGGGGATTAGAGGGAGGTGGAGTGTACAGTCGGTAAAGACGGCTCTCCCTTGGCCTGCCTCCAACATGCCTCCATCTAAATAGGATAGATTATCCTGAGTTATCTCTGTAGTTATGCTGCTATAGGCTTAGACTGCTGGAGGACACACTGACCACTTTCCACACTCGACTACTTTCATCTACAATCTGCTCTTTAACAGTATTATTACCTACCCTGGCCTGCCAGACTGTTCCTCTGTTTAACTCTGCACAGAGAACGAGTCCGGTAACTCTCCCATACAAATAACCCCACCCCCCTGAGAATTCTAACCGAGCCAATCAGCGCTGAGCAATGTATGTCACACACCGCAACGCTCAGTTTCTCATAAACAATGAAGATGGCATTTGAAGTGGAGTTCACCGCGGTTCTTTCCTCTTGGACGTGTCTTCAAAACCACAACAAAAAGAACCGCCTTACTTCTAAAGAAAGATGTTTGCGCCATTTTTGACTACATCCAAAAGACTACGGCATTGCACGGTGCAGTCAACATTTCCGCATTTTTTCTGATTGGTTATTTTTGAGCTGGTTAGTCCCTCCTCTCATGTGCCTTTCTGCCTTGGTGCCCAGTCTTGGTCCTCAAGGGCCGGTATCCAGCTTGTTTTAGTTTTAACTCTCCTTCAACACATCTGATTTCAATCAGTAGGTGATTAACAGGCTTCTGCAGAGCCTGATGAGCTGCTGCACAGGTGGAGCAGAAAAGCCACAAAACCTGCTGGATACCGGCCCTCCAGGACCAGGATTGGGCACCCCTGATCCAGATGTACTCTGCTCAGCACTGATTGGCTCAATTAGAATTCTCGGGGGGGGGGTATTTGGATGGGAGAGTTACCAGACTCGTTCTCTGTGCAGAATTTCTCCAAGTGATTTTTTTCCCCAGAAGAAGCTACAATGATGTTCTGCTGAGCTGTGGTGGCCTCATGGAGGGGGCCATCGGCTAGTACATCGGCGCCTGTGGTCTCGCCTCTGTCAGTGCGCCCACAGCTGATGCACAGACTACAGAAGCTGGTAAGGACTATTTGTACAGAGGTTTAATCTACAGTAATAATCTACATATTCCAACTAGGAATCCACCTGGAACAGCTACTGCTTTGATTCCTGCCTAAACTAGGCGAGCCAATGAACAGCTGCAGCACCACAGTCAGAAGTTATTCAGGTAAAGCTACTGACACATTTTATTCCAGTTATATAAATAAATACACACAGCAGTAAAACTGGCAGCTTGTCTGTAGACTGAATTATACTGGCACAGCCTGATGAGGCTAGCAGAGTTAGCTTCTATGTTAATCCACCTGCCAGCACAAAGATAAAACACAAAAGTAAATGAACTGTCTTTGGTTCTGAAGACGTTCACCATCCATTTCGATCTGCATGTTTGAGTCTTGAATGTTCCCAGCTATATGCGTTGACCTCGTGGGCTAACCGGCTTGTGGTTTACGGCTCGTCCAAGTCAGACAGGCTGAGTGGCCCAGCTGCGTTTCTCCAGCTCTCTGATATTCACATTCCTCATAGTAATCTAGGGTAAAAACAAGCTAAAAAAATTAGCTCTGCTAGCTAATAAGCTAGCAGAGGTTTCATAAGCTACATCTGACTGACTGCTATGATGCTAATGCAGATGAACCAGAGTTGGGGATTGTTTACATTGTTTGTGCAGAGCTCTCTGCGAGACATCACAGACTGCCTAGGGCTTAGACCGGAAACAATTGTGTTTTTTGCCGCAGTACTCAAAAACATCAGAAATTCTTAAAAATCCAGCTGTGTGAATCTGCAAACCTTTTACATCTGAGGTTTTAATATGTTTTTTTTTACATAAGTGAGAGGCGGGTTGAGTTTACCTGTCATCGTGTGAGGAGCCTAGTATTCTGTGTCCATCTTTCTTCCACTGGACCTGGTAATCATGTAGCTTAGGATCTTTGTAGAAGCCACAGTGCAGGACAGCAGTTTCTCCTTTGAGAATCTGGATGTTCTGGGGTGGCGAAAGTATCATAGTTTGATCTGATAGGAGGAAATAAAGGAGATTAGAATTAATTATATGAATCTACTTACTGAAATCACTAAATGTGTCTGCACTGTAAAAAAAGCAAAACTGTAGATTTTATGGTAAAACGTTGGCAGCTGGGGTTGCCAGAATGGTACCATAAAATTATGGGCAATGCTTTTTCTCTTTCACGGAAAGAAGGTATTTTATTGTTTTTACGGTTAAAAATGGTACTGAAGTCGGAATTCTACTGTAGAAAAAAATGTTTTTACTTAAAAAAATAAAAGAAAAACATTGCTTCACCATAAAATGAACATGAAAATAATTTATAAAATAAAATTTGTGCCACTAAAAACATTTTTTCATTTTTGGGAAACAGGAAGTAAATTCCTTACACCATTACCAGCAATTAAAAGCTGTATTTTTGGGGGTGGGGGTAGCACAGGAGTTAAGTGTTTGCCCCTTAACTAGAAGGTTGCAGGTTCGAGCCCCACTCTCTGTCGTTGTGTCCTTGGGCAAGACACTTAACACCCCCTTTTTTACAGTGTGTTTATGGTTTTCTTTATGGATTAAAAATGTAAAAGTCCCTCTCTGGTTTGAAACATTGATGGTAGAACCACCTTCTTGCTTCCATCCCTAACTTGCTTTAGTAAATCCTTACTTTGGTTAAATAAATCAGTTGTTGAACCCCCACTCCTCTGTTTGGTCTCCTTTCTTATTACAGCCCACCACTTCCAGTCTGGGTGTTAACAATCTGCAGACAGATTTCTGAGTATCTCCTCCTTTGGTATACAGATCCTCACTGAGCCATGTACTGTGAACAAATAGTTTCTCCGTGATATTATCCAGCAAGGTCCCGTTTTTGTCAAAACAAGGGTGAGGTAATGAAAAAATAGAAATATTTCATTAAATTAACATTTAAATTATTTATATGAGTGGCTGAAGTAATATTACAACTTTGACAGAATACAAATTCTCTCTCTCTCTCTCTCTGGAAGCCCCACTTTAAGGGCATTTGCAGTGTATTAGTGAGTCATATATTGTACAACCACAGTCAAAAATTTTTCAATCAGTAGTTTTATTTCAGTATGTATTTTTCCAGTATCACAAAAAATATAATTTTATATGGTTAAAATCATCTAGCTTATGTGCACTTTTTAAAACACTGCCCAGCAAACATTCGGACGTTTAATGACAGTTGAACGGTCACAACTGTAAAATAATATCACAGGAATTAGGAAAAAATAACACATCTACTCTATTTGCCTTGCCTGGACTCGAACCTGGATCCTCCAGGGGGAGAGTCACCCACTCTCCCAGCTGAGCTATGACAGCAACTACTGAATACCAGATTCTTTTATATAGATAGCTAGAGGGTAAAGTGCGGGGTAAACTAACCAATCAGAGGACAGAGAAGATCTGCCTCAGGCCACGCCTCCAGAGTGCCAAAACCCCTTACAGCCGAGCGAGCGGAGTCAGAAACCGAGCGCGCAGAGAGGCTGCCGCGCGCGCACGTTTTCCTCTGCCGTGTGCTCGTTGGCAACGCTCGCACGCAGGTTTGTCACTTGTGCACGTCCTTGTGCGCTCACAGACACAGTTTGCTCCCTCTCAGTGCACAAATGACCTCTCGCCATGTATATTTTCACTCGCGAGTCCCGTTCACACGCGCGATGTGGACCCAATCCGCGTGCACGGGTTGTGGCACGCCTCTGACGCCATAGGAGAAGGGGAGGAGGCGAGCGGCCCTCAGCTGTAACTTTTTGTATCAGCTCGTGAGTTGCCCAAGGCAGAGCCAGCTGTAGGCGTGGCCGAGAATTGGCTGTTTTTTTTACCTTAAAATAGCAGTGCCATGTCACATGATACCAGCTAACGTCACGCTGTAACACAGAAAATAACAATGGCTCATTCAAACCCAAAAGCAGTGCACACCTTTAGCCTGCAGAGGGCACTACACTGTTGGTTTTAGACTGGATATTTATGCACTACAATGCTAAAAATAATGACTATGTTTATCTATTAGACACTCATTTATATGGTTATCAGCAGAAAAGTGAGCTGAAGGTGACTGGAGTCTGAGGGAACATAAGGGAATCAGAAACATTAGGGACCTTCATCTTCTATGGATACTTCCAAAACATGTTAATGACTCACTGAAGACGTGCAGGTTAGCAGTGATGAAGATGTTTGTGTCTTCGATAGAGCAAGTGTACACTCCATGGTCTTTGTGTGTGACATTCATCAGCTCAACTGTTCCGTTTGAGAACAGAGACACACGAGGATCTGACATCAGGGCATCCATGTCCTTGTGCACCCTACGGAGACACACAATCACCATTCATCATGAGTCATCTGTCTGTGTGTGTCCAAGCCTTCTGCTTCCTGTCTGTTCCTCATTGACACCTTCCCTTTGGTTGCTGCTGGCTCCCTCTGACCCGACCTGTACGTCTCCATCCATCTCCTTCGAGCATGGATGAAACCCTAACTTCTGACCTAAGCCTAACTTCCACCAGCATTTCTTTTCTCTGTAGTTGCCACACTTCTGGATGTTTGCACCAGAACACTTATAAAATCATATAACATACATTTAAAATCTGCATCTACTTTGCACATAATCCTGAGTTATCTATGGAGCTCATGTGATTAATTGGAGGGACAGGTGGGGCCTGCGTTGGACTATCTCACCGCTAACCCAGTCCACCCCCTGTTACAGACTGGGATGATAATTCAGCCCTGGCTTTCTATGCCTCATTGGTCCACCCTTGATCATGGCTCATCCCCACCAGTGTGTGAATGGGTGAATGACTGTGTTATAATGCGCCTTGGGGGGTTGTAGAACCCTAAGAAGGCGTCGTCGTCATCTTCCTCCGCTTATCCGGGTCCGGGTTGCGGGGGCAGCATCCCAGCTAGGGAGCTCCAGACCGTCCTCTCCCCGGCCTTCTCCACCAGCTCCTCCGGCAGGACCCCAAGGCGTTCCCGGACCAGATTGGAGATGTAACCTCTCCAACGTGTCCTGGGTCGACCCGGGGGCCTCCTGCCGGCAGGACATGCCCGAAACACCTCCCCAGGGAGGCGTCCAGGAGGCATCCTGACCAGATGCCCAAACCACCTCAACTGACTCCTTTCGATCCGGAGGAGCAGCGGTTCTACTCCGAGTCCCTCCCGAATGTCCGAGCTCCTCACCCTATCTCTAAGGCTGAGCCCGGCCACCCTACGGAGGAAACTCATTTTGGCCGCTTGTATCCGCGATCTCGTTCTTTCGGTCATTACCCAAAGCTCATGACCATAGGTGAGGATTGGGACGTAGATCGACCGGTAAATCGAGAGCCTGGCTTTCTGGCTCAGCTCCCTCTTCACCACGACAGATCGGCTCAGCGTCCGCATCACTGCAGATGCTGAACATAAGAAGGCGCTATACGAACACAGGCCATTCAGCAATCCCATTTAAATTTGTACTCAGTTGATAACCCTAATCTAAGGATTTTTAAAATGGAAGCAAACTCCAGCCCATCAGAGGAAACGAGGTAAGCTCCTCACCAGGTAACGTGTGGTCGCGGTGAGCCAAAAGATTCACAGTGCATCTGGATGTCCTGGCCCTCATACACCTTATACACAAGACCATCAGCTGTCAGGATCTGAGGAGGAAGCTCTGACAGGAAGAACAGCTGGAATGTTAACAACTGGGTTACAGGAAGGAGATGAGCAAAAGGAACAGGTGTGTACTTACCAACCACAAACATGTTGATGTTCAGGAGGATGGAGCCATGCTTGTTGGTGGCTTCACACTGATAAACTGCTGTGTCTGCCACTCCCACTTCCCTCAGGATCAACCATTCTCTTGTTATGGAGCGACGAGGGTCCTCATCCACATCTACAGACAGGTAAAGGTACAGGAATCCAGGTGTAACGATTTGTAAGTGGTTACTTTTAATAGTCTGTCAATAGAATATAAAGCTATTCAATCAAATGTAATATACCATAAAAATATGAAAGATCAATATTATTGACCTTTAATATTCGATTGATGATGAAACTAGGTGCTTTGGGTATGGCAGGGAAACATCACTTTAGAAAAATTCTGAAGAATTGTTGAAAGGGGCCTGCCATCTGGTGGCCACATGGAGAGAAGCCAGGTGCCAGGTAGCTACAGCTCACCTCGACGCTAGTTAAGCATGTTTATTTATTTGGCAGACGCTTTTATCCAAAGCGACTTAAAATTTATAACCTATAGGGCATGTTGTGATCTGTGGGGGAAACCGGAGTACCCGGAGGAAACCCACGCATGCATGGGGAGAACACGCAACTCCACACAGAAAGGCGGCAGCTGAGTTTCGAACCTGCAACCTTCGTGCTGCGAGGCAACAGTGCTAACCACTGCGCCACCATGCAGCCCACCAATCCGAATATTCGTATTGTTCACAGACATCCAGACCTTAGAAATGAAATAAAATTAATATTAAAATTAAAAATGATAAATGTTGTTTCTTCATTAGAAGATCAGCGATCTGTGAACACTTTTGTTCTTGATGCCGCCCAGCTGAAGCAGACATCTGCTCATTTCTAACAGAGCTGAGCTGTGGGAGAACATATTCAGGCTTATTTAAACTTATTTTCCATCACCGGTGGGTTTAGTGCGTTCACTTAATATTAATTATAAAACTATAAATAACATGTCACTACAGTCTGGGCTAGAATGTGTTTCTAGCAACAGAAGCTTGTTGGGTTAGGGTTTCAACAACGGAACCGACCAGAATTCTGACGTAACACCAGTGCACAGAGGTGTGGGTTTCTATTAGCGACAGAAGGGGAGGGCGAGAGGGCAAACACAGCCAGAGAAGCACAGAGGGACCGGTCTGATTGTAAATAGCAATGAGAACTCCAACTTTTTAAAGAGAACCGGTTCTTATGGCTCAGCTCACTAAAATGAACCGGCTCTTTTGGCTATCAAATGGCTCAATTCAATTAAAAAATACTTTATTAATCCCAGAAGGAAATTCAATTGTTTCAGTACACACAATTCCAAGATCAGACATATGACAGGAATTGGTGACTGTGGTCATTTGCAACACGAGTCGCGCTACCGTTATAGATCAAGAGGGTTTATATGAGGATAGAATCGGGGAGAGGGGAAAAAAGGCACTTCAGAGTCACCCTCAACAGAGAGGATAGCTTTGTTATGCAAAAAACACCTCAGACAGATATGCACACAGACTTCACACGATACATAACATAAGTGTCCACTAGGATGATGATGTGTCATCCATTACCTGACCCATCTGAACTCAGACTTTTGTTTATTATGTTGTTCACGTATGTGTGTGTGCGTGTGCGTGTGCAAGTGTGTGGGTGAGTGTATGTCCACCTTGGAAATTGGTTGCGGGAAGGGAACTGCAATTATCAATTGGTTTATACTTGGGGAGGAAGCCTGGGATGGGAATATGGGATCTATGGGGCCATTTTAATCTGTGAAGCACTTTGAGTTGCATTCTTTTGTATGAAAAGTGCTGTATAAATAAAGCTGATTTGATTTGATTAGGTGGGGAGGTAGGGTTGGGACTCTCCACTTCAGAATGTGCAGCCGCAAGAGCAGCACTCATTACCTCCGTTTGGACAGTGGGGGAGATAACGGGTTAGAGAGCACATTGAATCCTTGAGACGGTTCCACAGCCTTCACCGGTCACAGTCCCGCCCAGGCTGGGATAGGGAGAAAGTAGGGCTGCTTGATTATGGCAAAAATAATAATCACGATTATTGTGACTGAAATTGAGATCTCGATTATTTAAGACGATTTTTCAATCAATGTTGATCTTATTTGTTTTTATTCAGTCATAAAATTGCTCAGGGCACAATCAGGACAAAAAGAAATAAGAAACAAGATGGTCACTGAAATAACTCCTGATTCCCAGTATAATAAGACCAATGTACTTATAGCTCATAGTCTATGACCCAAGGGCTATAGACCTTGGTTTAACTCATGTAAGTCTAACCAGTACAGACCCAAATACCAATATCTTGCAAATACTGACAGCAAGAATTATACAGTGGCATTTATAACAAATAAACGCAAATAAATTGATGTTCAAAAAAATGTTGCATAACATTTATTTAGTGGCGTCAAGGTGCTGTGAGAGAGTGCACTAGCACCGTGTCCTCAGAGAGATTAGTTATTATTTATCAGTGTGAGGAACTTATTTCTACCTTACTTATAAACTATGTATTTACAGGTCCATCAGTTAATGTAATAATTGTCCCAACCACAGCTGCACCCCCACCCCCGAACTTTGTCTCACAGCAATCAGGGGCAAGCTGCACGTGTGTTTAGCGTGCCACACGCACACATTTAGCTGCGGCTCAGGAGCCCGCAGGTACAGTGTGTGTCACTCACTCTGGTTAATCCAACAGGGCGCTGGCTCTGAGAGCCGTTTCTTTAGCGACCGACACATCACTACATCATTCCCATTCCTAATGTCCTGAAGAACGGTCCGGAGCGCAGGCGGAGTGTTTAGCTAACCTGCAGGAAATGTCGACGACAGTTATCCAGAAAGTAGCTAAGGGTTACCAGAGATGTCTGAGTTTGGAGTATCCGCATGTTCCCTGGAGGTGGGTTCACTGGGGGTGTCTGGGACTAAGGGCTGCTGGCCCACTCTGGAGGTGCTTGGGTTGCCTCAGGGAGTGGACTACTGGCGGTAGGTGTGGAGCTCCTTGGGGGTCTTGGCAGTGGCCATGGGTCGCTGCCTGGCAGCTGCATTGCCCCTGAGCGGGTCTGCCTGGGGGCATGGGGTGTGGGGGTGGCCGGCCCCATGTCGGGTTCTGGGCAGGGCCTTGGGGGTCGGGTCCTGACATGTATGCTGTACCCTAACCCTAACCCATCCTTACCTGGATGTCCCATGTCTTATATATTCTGGAAGTTGTGCAAATGCAGAGATGGGCGTAGATATTCTGCTGGGGTGGGGCTGGGTTGGTGCCCTTGGACTCCGTGATGCTCTGTAATGCTGCTGCTTTGGGCCCTGGCAAGATGGGCTGGGGTCTCCATGCCCTGGGTGGCATTTTGACAACAGAGGTGCCTATTGGGGCCAGTGGGGGAGCTGGCTCCCTGGAGGGCTTAGCCCAACCAGCCATTCCTCCCCATCCAAAATATATTTTTCTCCTCCTGCTCCCTCACATCATCACACAAACATGCATATAGGACCTTGGGGGGTGGACAAGTCAGGGAGTGCGGGTATGAACCCAATTTCCGCATTCCTGTACACTTCCACCAACGACATTCCACGCAAACACACACTTAGGACCTTGGGAGTGAGCACATTCAACGGCAGTTGGCAGGGGGATTTCTCAGCCTCCTCCCGGGTGCAGGAGCCCACTTCCAATTTTAAACTGCACTTACACACCGAGGGCTGTGGGTGCAAGTGGGGTGGTGCAGTTGCATCAGCTGGCATAGGCTCACCACAGCCATGAAATACACACACACAACACTATATTGGAGCAGGCGGAGGGAGACTAGGGGTCTTGGCACCTCTGTTGTTGCTTGGCTTCCTGGGGCTGGAGGCTAGGAGGGAGATCTGGCCGTCTGGTTGGGGTCTGGGGTGATAGGTTGCTGTGCTCAGCGTTGGGCGGGGGAGCCTGCTCATCAGCACCCCAGCAGAAAGGGTCAAACTCTGGGAACCGGTGATGGTTGTACCCCATGTGCAGCAGTACCGGGACCAGAGTGAACAGGGTGTGTATGGGGAGCATGAGTGGGTGTCCGGCGTGCATTTTTGTAAGTCTTGGGTTGTATGTGTATGTGTGAGCATGAGGGAGGGAGTGTGTGACTGTGTTTGTGTATGACTGTATATGTCAAGTGGGGCCTTTGACTCCTCCCTTCTCCTGGGACTTCTTTTGATGATATAGATCTTCGTCTCCCCTCCCCCACCACACCTGGTGTGGGGTGTGTTGCCTTGGTCTGCCTGAATGTTCATGGCTCCCAGGTCAGGGGGTTAAAGATTTTTGGCGTCTGCCTGATCAATCCCAGTGGCTGTCTGGTGGGGTCTGGGTCCCTGGGCTCTGCTGGGTCCCCGGCGGGGGTGGTTGCCCCTGGGTCCCAGGTCGCTGGGTCCCAGGCTCGGCCGGCTAGGGAGTGGGAGGCTGCGGGTGGGCCTCAGGGCTTGCCGCTGATATCTCCCGGGACTCTGCCGGCTGCTGGTTGTGGCCCCCAGGGGCGATCCAGGGGCGGGGGCTTTCTGCTTGCAGTCTCCTTGGGGTTCCTGTGATCTGGGGCAGCTCCTGGATCTCTGGGACTTGGAGTTCCCCCCGTTTCCTACGCATCTTTGGGGGGCAGATCTGTGGTCCCTCACACTCTCTATTGGACGCTCCTACAGAGAAGCCTTACATAAACAAGTGTGTGTACACACACAGGTGCTCACATGGTGCTCTCAAAGTATGGGCTTGGGCACGTTCAACACATGTCTTAAGGCTGTTGTTGCCACTAAATGCACTACGATTCATTATTATGTGATTGTTCAGTGAAACAATGCTGATTGTCTATTTCTTCAAGTTGACGCGGTGATAGCTTGCTCCTGTTGTATTGTTGTGTCCCATTTTTTTTATCTTCTTTCTCTTTCTGCAGGTCTAGAAGCAGACTCTTGTTCATTATTGTTTATTTTTTTGGACCCTCCCGTTTCGATTTGAACTGTTGCATGCCGGGAGAAGTGACGTCAACTCCCGGAGCTCTATACTGAGCCAGGATTCTCTGGAGGTTTCTTCCTGTTAAAAGGGAGTTTTCCTCTCCACTGTCGCTGCATGCTTGCTTAGTATGAGGATTGTTGTAAAGTCACTGACACTAGTCAGTGACTCGATGCAATTTGCTGGGTTCCTTATATAGGAAACATTATTTCTGATTGGCTTAATGAACTGACCTGAATTGGAATGTTTATTATGTCAAGTGCCTTGAGACGACTCTTGTCGTGATTTGGTGCTATATAAATAATAAACTTGAATTGAATTCTTCATTCTCCTCCACCTCTTCATGCAGTCGCCCCCTCTGAACCCACTTTTCCATTCACATTTGCTCCGTATTTTGTATTCATTCAGTCACTGGTGAATAAAAGTTCATATTTTTGGATTTTTTCCGCAATGCATTCTTCAATCATATCAATTTCAGACTCAAGATAATGTATCGATGGAAGCCCCACCTACTTCCGGTTAAACCATGCCCAGTTCCTGTTTAGACCCCACCCACTCTGAGAATAGATAGTTGACTCGCTCATCCCTAGTAAATGCATTTTGTCCTCACAGGCTCCCGTAGAAGGAAGCATGACATCTCCTAGAGACGATTTTTCTCGTTATATGTTACGAAGCTGCTAATAGTTTTCAACAACTGAGCATCATTTAATTCATTTTCAACAAGATTTCGATAGATATTTCCAGACATTAACAGTAAAAACTACACATTGTCGCTTTAAAGGCATTTGATTGAACACTAAACACCTACAGTCTACAAATTGTGGGTAAAAAAATGCCATACTTGTTAGAGGCTGTCCATTGATGCTCCACGTGATGTTTGGCTCTGGATCTCCTTTAGCAAG